TAAAATAGAATATGCAGATTGCTGAAGTACACTAGCAAATTACTTTGCAAATTTTATCAAGATTTGCTCTGCCTTCCTACGTAAAAAAAAATGCACCAAACCTTCTGGACATCAGGCCTGGGGCTTTTCCTCCTTTTTAAACCTAGAACGGGAGTTGCTTATTTGGCCATTTCATTGTTACTCATTGCATGCATACACAGGATTGCACCACAGACCATGTAGTCTTGAAATGGTAAATACTCAAACGATGAGTTTTACTAACAAATTGAACAAAAATAAAAGAGTAAAACATAGAAATTGTATTAGTAAGCCAACAAGATGGCAAAGAATTAATCTAAAAGTCTTTTTATGTGACCAGAACTTCCTTACCCCAGTAGCTGTAAGGCTGAATCAAACTAGCATAAAAGGTGTGTCATATTTTTTTACCATTTTATTGCAGATTTTCTGTGGTCTGATCCCACGGAGAACCTGCAGCACCCGGACCAGAACATAAGTCTGAAACTAATCTAGATTGTTTTGTTTAACTGTGTGGAACATTGGAGTGTTAATGATAAAATGCTCTCAGCATGAATCAGAGTCCAGCTGAGGCAGAAAATTAAACCCGGACAAGTTTAGTGCTGCGCTCAGGTCCAAACCTTCCACCTAAACAAGATGACATAACATTAAAATGAATCTCCCACTGGGACATGAATAAAGATCTGAACCTAAACGAGCGGCTTCCAGCAGTAAATGAGTGGCTTCGTCCTGCAGCAGCTAACAGCCATAGAAACTCAATAGATGCTTCTGAACCAGAGGCTAGATTGAGGCTTTAAGCCAGAGAAGCAGGACAAATAAGGCCGACCTAAACAGAAGACTTCCTCTGAACGTCTCCACAGATCCGATTTGTGGCTGCAGCACATTAGGATAATTGAGCCCCACATATCAGGACAGAAAGCCCCTCAGGGAACAGCTTTCCCTTCTTCTCCAACTCTGTTAACAGGCAGTTCAAACAAAGGTTACTCTACTGATTACTCCTCTGAGCCTCCGGTTTAAATTACGTTCCAGGATCTCTTTACATGTTCCACAGCTCATTCATTCCTGGTTCCACTGTCACACAGGAACCTACAGCTGCTGTAATGACTCCCTCTGTAACGTGGAGAGCCACGCAGTGTGAAATACACAGCCAGGAGTTATGAGGACGGAGGGTTGGAGCAATAATGATAGACCTAATCTGGAGCAGTGCGGGCTGTTAAGGTGAATTATTTAGTGTGAAAGAGCAAAGACTCAGTTCTGAATTCGGATGATGTGTAGAATCATCCAGCAACTGACATAATGAAAGGCTGACATGTGGGGAGATACAAGGAGACTAACTGAGACAAAATAAGATAACGATAGAAAACAATGATGTGATGAATGGATGGAAACATCCAGTAGCTTTTGCATGATTAAATTGCAATCCTGATCTGACATATCTAATAATTAACTCATGTCTTAAAGCTCCTATATCATGGTAAATCAAATTTTTAATGCACAAAGTGATATTTTGTTTGATTATTCTCAAGTAATCATTATGAGTTTTGCTGTCTGTGCAACAGTCCCACCCTCACCTGTGAAAATGAGGCATTGGAGAGTATCTGGGTAGAGCAAGGCTCCCTCCGGGAAACACCTACCACTGTGCAGGCTATGCAAATAAATGCCTGCTTCTCCCATCAGGGAGGAGTGATATGAGGTATAGTGCAATGTTTCTGGCTCAAATTTAAGACCAAGTGGCGTGTTTTTTTGGTCCTAATCTGCACAGGGTAGCAGCTTTTCTTTTTAAGCTCATGTCTTAGTCTCGGATATCTGCTTTTTTTGGTCTCTAGTTTTGTTCTTGGTACAGCATTCAGAAGTTGTATGATATGGCGATGTCATGAAATAGGTGACGGATGCTTTACTAAGACAAACGCTTATCTTTGGGGTTAGAAGAAAACAGTTATATTTTAAAGCAACTATATACAAATGTTGTTCGATAGGCAAAATGTTGTCATATATTTGCCTATAGGTACATTTGAAAGGCTTAAAAAACATGATATACACTGGAAAAATGTATGCAACCCTTTTTGGGTTGTTACACAGTTGTTTCATTAAATAATTATGTTAAAGTAACTAAATATAATTAATTAGATGTCAAAAATGGTTGCAATTTTTTTTTCTGTGAACCTTTAACTATCTATAGTTATTGCTAATCTAATTGTCTAATTCCTAACCTGTTGCGACATGGACTAACTTCACCATCTTTAGTAAATATTATGGGCCAGATCTTCAAAAGAAGATAAAAAGGGATTTTAACATGAAATTCAAGAATCAGTGCATGTAAACTGCATGTCTGCCTTCACCAATGGAGATCACATTCTAGTTCTAATGACCAAATTGTATGGGTTGGGGATATGCGAATGTAAACACATTCAACACAGTAATTTTTTCTTTTACTACGAGGCTACATTGCTTTGCAGAACATCGGCACAAGGAATTGTTTAAAAGGAATTGTTGGAGGTAAATCTGCTGTAAATCTAACCAAGGCTTGTTCCCTGTCAGGGATGGGGGGTGTTAGTGGGTGGGTGGTTGCGTGGGGCGGGGGTTCGTCAAACAACACACAAAGACAGCTTCCCATGTATTGTGTTATTTTATTTAACAATATTATTTTCATAATTTTATGTTTTTTATTTCGTTTATAGTGCTTTGAGATGCTAATAGTATCTGAACTACATTATACATAATAGTTAGTAGTGTCATTGTTAGTATTTTAAAACAAATTAACCACCATTATTTCCTCCAACTACATGGCTGAGGACCTCATCTTCCTTTCACGGCCACTCTCTGCCTGTCGAACAAACACCCAATGTTGTACATGTATAGCCATACTCCTGTTGTCCTTCTCTTTATCATCAATCTTCCATGGGACTACAGATGACCATTGACACTAAATCTGGCATACTGACATTTCTATACTTGTGCATTTAAACTTTGCAGCAGTTTAAGTCATTTTGTGAGGTGTTTATGTTAGGTCCTTTAAGATAAAGGTGCAGCTGATCTGGGCAGTAGAAGGTGAGTTTGGTCCAAACCAGAAGTAGGCCTAACCTGTCAGAACTTTCTAGCAGCAGGAGGATTATAGAGAAATCCAGTTGAATGATCCAGAACCACCATTAGTTCTCAGAGATCCCGCCGCTGCTCATTGGACACATTTTTAACACAAAGAAAATAGAACCATGATGCTTTTGTGTTGCTGAGGCTCAGAAAAGAATGGGTCAAACTAAAGTCTGCCTGTGTCCATATTGCCTCTCTGAGGAGTTTCTCAACATGTCGCTACATCAGTAGATGGAAGCATCTATTGGGACGGGGACTTACACTGAGCTGCAGCGTCTCTGTCCACTGTCCGATAACTCTGTACCCTGCTCCCGTCACGTTGTTCCACTGGTACTGGAATAGGTCGTAGCGTCCTGGGGCATCGCCGTTTCTGTTGAACGTCACCGAGGTGCCGGCACTTCCTGTGGAGGAAAACATGGTCAACCATCACATTCATCTATTTGCAGGGTTTTTGGTTTGCTCATCATCATCGTTGAAGTTTGAAGCAGATAGGAGCAGATGTTTCAGAGATGCAGTTCTTTACATGCAAACTTATTATTTCCTCTTTCAATGTTTTTCCTAAAGGTCAGTGAAGCACAAGAGAATATTTAAAGCTTTCAAATTCAAACTCACAGTTAATATTCATAGAAGGACCCTGTGGAACAGAACAATATTTGTGTTCTGAAAGGTTCTGAAATGATAGAACATTAAAGAGACCAGAGTTGGGGATGGATGGATGGATTTAGTTATTTCCTCTCAGAGGTTCAGACTGGTGAAGCTGCGATCAGTTCGCTCATCGCTTCAATTGCCACTTTCTCTCCACATCAGCACTTCTCACTAATTACCTGATAAATGAGGCTCTATGGGGCAAATTTCCTCAGCCACGTCTGCAATATCAGAACCGTTCAGAATAATATCAGGAAACTCTAACAGTTAATTATGAAAATTAATATAATAATATTTGCTTAATTAGTGAAATAGTCCAAGCACAAAGTGCCTGACAGTTAAAGGGACATGCAGCAGAAAGTTGGGCTCCACCAGTTAAGATACTCCTGATTATTCAGAGCATGTGGAGAAGAAAGCCTACAGGCTACCCAGAGTCTCTGTGGTCCCAGCAGTGATGTGTCCCGATCTACCAATGGATTCCAGCTCTGCCAAACTCTGCTTCATGGCAGTTTCTGCCTAAAGCCACTGGCATTGGTAAGGACTGGAATCAGATTCTCCCACAGGAGCAAATTCTCCCAACATCTGGGAACTATTTGATGATGCAGAAAGACTGATGCAAATCAAAGCGCAAATGACTGAAGTCTGAGCAAAAATTCAGAATCACAGGTGCTGTCAGACAGCAAACAATGCTTAACGATGCACATGTGGAGCCTTTATTGAAACTTCAGGTGGGAATAGTTGCTTCTTTCTGCTGTTATTTTGTTTCTCTTTATGATCATTTGGGCATCTTTATGCTGCTGCTGCTGCTTCCCTCTGAGGTCTTTAAGTGACAACAACCGTTGAGCTTTAGGTTTGGAGATGGTCTCTTAAACACTGTTGTCACATTAAGCACTGGCTGAGTCCCTCCTAAATGATAACATCCTCCCTCCTGGTCTCCTCAGGAAGGTGTCTCCTCACTCTGAGGGTCTGCAGAAAAACTCACCTTCCACCGTTTCAGAATCAGGTAATAACGGCTCGCTGCTCTGCTGTCGTAATGGCAGATTTCATTAGCATTTTGGTCACACTGTGGAACATCTTTGGAGGCCAAGTGCTGGAATAAAGTGCCTCAGTCATATTTTTATTGCCTGATGAAATTCCTGCAGCAGTTTATGTTCCAGATCTGCTCAGACTGGAAACCAAGGGAAAGACATTTCAGAGCCTGGCAGAGTCGCTCACTGACTTAATGAGTGACTTTGGAGCATTTCTTTTTGCTTCAGGGTACTAAGTCTAATTATTGCCTTTTAAAGAGTAGTCATCATCTGAGCTTCCGAACCTGCTGACTGATGGGCTTTCAGAGTTCCTACATGCTGCTTTAATCTGGATCTGTTTGATTTCTCAGTCAGATTCAGCCTCATCTTTTCTCCTCTTTTGTTACTTTGTTTTAACCTCCCAGTAAACATGCATTTATCCTCCAGCAGGCACAGAGCTGGAGTGATCGAAGATTTCAAAATGAGGGTCACGTTTCGCTTCAGTGTATTTAACGATGAGGAGCAGTCTGGTGTTTTTCACTCTGACGTGTTGCAGCCTTGGAGTTCAGAGCACAGCGAGGCTCCGGCTTTATGGTCCGCAGAAGGACGACGTTATCAGTCCACTCACCGTTGAAGCTGACGCTGCGGATGTACTTGAGCAGTTTCTTCCCACCGGCCAACTCCATCTCCGGGCAGATTCCTGAAATGTCCGGACACAGGTCCCGCTGCATGTTGTGCAGCGCGTGGGCCATGGCGTACATGGCGTCGATCACAAACTGGACCTTTCCCTCCTGCTCGTACTTGGAGTCGATGCCGATCCGCTCCTGACCTGAAACAGAGACAGAGGATGATGACTCAGGAGATTCAAAGCAGGTGAGAAATAAAGTTTACAGTTTGAGCTCCCTCACTGGTGAGAGAGAAAACAATGGGATTGAAACGGTTAGAAGCTTCCAGTGACACCAGTTTAGGAAACACAGATCCAGCTGAACTAGAACCAATAGTTTCCTTTGTGTTGCATCATCAAATCTGAATCTACCTTCACCTTAAAGCTACTTCGGTGGTTCTGATCTGTTTCTGCTGCTTTTCCATTGAGCTCCCATCATGAAGACAGCTTTCACCTCAAGCATGTTAAATAAATGCAGGACGACGAGGCGCTCGGGATGAACTATACACAAAAAAGAAGCTTCCACCAAGTCAAACGGTCCCTGTTTGATTTCCGTCAGTGTTTGGATGCAGAGTCATGAATAAATGAAGAGAGGAAATAAATCAGGATTCATTCAGCTCACAGAGGATCTGTTCAGAGCGTCAGCACAGCTATCAGGGACATCCGACCTTCAGAAGATGCGCTTCAACTGCACGGGGGTCAGACAAAGGTCAATTAACCTTCTCACATCATGTCTGGCAACAGACAAAGTTCTGAAATGACAAAGTCTTTGGAATCCCAACCAGCTGAGCATTCGATGGTTTAAGGGATGGATTGTTTAGTTCAGAGAAGTCAAGAACGACGGTTTGGACTAGGCCCTGCCAGCCAGTAGTCCTACAGCCAACAGCAGCAGGGGACGCTGCCCCTTTTAGACTGTGCCAGGTATGTGAGCGTGACAGAGCCAGTTGATGGTGGGTGTGCAGGCAGGATCAGCAGGAAGCAGTGCGATACAGAGACAGTTTTCACAGAAACAGAAGATTCTGAGTCACAGCAACAAACTCTACAATTGCTTCCTGCTGCTGCAAAGCAACAAAGTGGAAAATTTACCTCATCAGGATTCCCCCCAGTCAGCTTCTGGGGATTAATGTTTTTGCTTGATGAAGATGGTAAACAAAATATATTAGGTAGTTTTAGGTTTAGCAAGAAAAAATAAATGTATCAAATATTTGAAATGAAGCCAGTATATAAACAACTAAAAGCATTACCAGATTCACCACAACGCACCTTACTTCCATACCCTAATTATGTAGTTGGCAGACCATGGTGATGGATGAAACTGGAGAAAGAAAAACGCCCACTGGTACCAGTGTGAGCAGTAGGAAACGCAGAGGGCCAAGTATGTGAGGCAGTGCATGGCCCCTTATAGGGGTGTTTCTAGTGTTCATATAAACTAATTTATCTTCATTTTATGCTCTTTGTTCATTATACGCCTTATCTGACAGGAGTCTCAGTGCCTTATTTAGACCAAAGTGTTAAAGTCAAGTTCAGCTTGAGAGTCGTCCTGTTAGAGGATGCGTGAAAGATATGCAGTGGTGGCTGACCACAAAGTGCGTCCCCTTTAACAATGACATCGAACAAATTGTTTGGATTACATTTTTTTACAGATAGTAACAAATACATGTTTAATTTGGGAAATTAAGGAAAATATTAACAGTAATATATAGTGTGAGTTTTTTCAATCTTCGTTGTTAGAAACCAGTTGAGTTACTGTTGAGCCTTGTCACTCCTCCTTTACCACATCCCTAAAAGCCACGCT